GGTGGTCAGAGAATTTGTTGATAATTGCATGGCTCAACTCAATGGAGCCATCTATTGGAAAATCACATCTTTTTTTCCCTACTGCCAAAGACGTGTTGGAAGCTGTACGTGACATGTACTCAGACCTAGAGAACTCGTCACAAATCTTCGATTTAAAATTGAAGATGTGGCGATCAAGGCAAGGAGATCGGGACGTTAAAACATACTACAACGAGATGGTGACGTTATGGCAAGAGTTAGATTTGTGCTATGAAGATGAATGGGACTGCCCAATTGATAGTGTGCGGCACAAAAAAAGAGAGGAAAATGATCGAGTTTATGTGTTTCTAGCAAGACTCAATCAGGACTTGGATGAGGTAAGAGATAGGGTCCTGGGCAGAAAACCTCTACCATCCATCAGAGAAGTTTTTTCGAAAGTTAGGAGGGAGGAGGCTAGGCGAAAGGTGATGTTGACAAATCAAGAACCGAAGCCCAACCAAGAAGTAGAAAGCTCAGCTCTGGTCTCTAGAGGATCTGATTCGAATGGAGAAAAGAGGAAAAAAAACATGGTGTGATCACTACAAAAAACCATGGCACACAAAAGAGACATGCTGAAAACTCCATGGCAAGCCCCAGAATTTTAAGAAGAAGAATGGAGGTGATGGCAAAGCATTTCAAGGCAACAAATCAACTCCGAGATACCTTATTTCACAAAGGAACAACTAGACCACATGTACAAACTCTTTCAATCTCTACAATTCTCAAATCCTTCTTGTTCTTTAGCTCAAAAGGGTAAATTATCTTATTGCAACTCTTTCTAGTGTAAAATCAAATTTGTCTTGTCTATGGATCATTGACTCTGGAGCTACAGATCACATGACTAGTTCTTCAAAACTATTCTCTTCTTATAAACCGTGTGCAGAAAACAAAAAGATCAAAATTGCAGATGGATCCCTTTCAGCTATAGCTGGGACAGGATCAATCATCATTTCTCCTTCCCTCACATTTCATAATGTTCTCCATATTCCCAATTTATTTTGTAATTTACTATCCATAAGCAAAATAATCTATGATCATAAGTGTCGAGCTAACTTCTATCCCTCTTATTGTGAGTTTCAAGAACTAATCTTGGGGAGGACAATTGGCAATGCTAGAGAGATTGGTGGACTTTTCTTTCTTTAAAGATGGATCCGAGTCTAGAAAACCAGCACATAGTACTTGTTTTGAATCTATTTCTGTTGCTAGTAGTGATGAAATAATGTTGTGGCATTATAGATTAGGCCATCCACATTTTCAATATTTAAAACATTTGTTTCCAAGTTTGTTTGAAAATAAAAATCCGTCTTCATTTTAGTGTGAATTTTATGAGTTAGCTAAACATCATCACACCTCATTTCCATTACAATCATACAAAGCTTCGAAACCATTTTCATTAATATATAGTGATGTATGGAGACCTTCATGAATCACAACACTTTCTAGAAGAAAATGATTTGTCACCTTTATAGATGACCACCCACAGGTAAACTGGGTTTATTTACTAAGAGAAAAATCAGATTTGGAGGAAGTTTTTTAAAATTTTTACACCATGGTGTTGACACAAATTCAAATAAAATTCAAGTTTTCCGTAATGATAATGGAAAAGAGTATTTTAACAAGGTTTTGGAAAAAAAAATTTCTTAGAAAAAGGCATAGTTCACCAAAGTTATTGTAATGATACTCCTCAACAAAATGGAATAGCTGAACCCAAAAATAAACGTCTTTTGGAAGTGGCTAGGGCTTTACATTTCATAAATAAAGTTCCTAAATATCTTTGGGGTGAAGCTATTCTCACGGCTACCTACCTCATAAACAGGATGCTTACTAGGATCTTAAAATTCAAAACACCTTTACCTATCCTACATCTAGGCTATCATCTACACTTCTTATAAAAATTTTTGGGTGCACTGTCTTTGGCCATATTCATGATCATAATCGGGGAAACCTTGATCCTAGGGCTAAAAAATGTGTTTTTGTAGGATATTCACCTACTCAAAAGAGGATATAAATGCTTTGATCTAACTTCGAAAAAATTATTTGTCACTATGGATATAACCTTTTTTGAATCCAAACCATTTTTTGCCACTCATCTTCAGGAGGAGAGCACAAATGAAGATGTAAGAGAATTTAAATCTAATGATGATTTTGAAATAGAACAACAAATTCAAATCAGTTTGTCCACCCTAATATCCCTAATATTGAGGCTACAACAAACTCAGATTTAATATTTAAAAAACCTGAAAATGTGGGCGAAAAAAATGCTGATTTTTTGGACGAAAAAAGTGGTGTTTTAAATATTGAAAATCCAGGTAGTTCATCTTCACTACCATCTCAAAATCAGAATTGCAATAGCACAGATAATGGGAAAAAAACAACTACTAAGGCCTCGTTTGCTTCGTAGATTTGAGTTTTTAATTCAAGCTGAGATGTGACACATTTTGAGAGCTTTTAACTATAGCATAAAAAGTTAGATGTGACATTTTCTGAGAGCTTTTAACTGTAGAAACTTAGAACTAAAAACTCGAATCGGTGAAATGAACGAGGCCTAAGAGTTCAGAACTCTTGGCCTACTCGAGGAGGAAACAAAATTCAAAGGAAAAAGGTCCTGATCCTCTACAAGGCCATGAGTTCGAACCAAGGGAAGAACCAAACTCATCTGAGTGCCCATGTAATAATCAATCTAATCATTGTCAACCTGTCCAGTCTGCTTCTAATTCTAGTCTCAAGTCCTTTGATGATCTCAATGTTCCCATTGCCACTCGCAAGGGTGTACGGTCTTGCACCAAACATCCTATGTCTAACCATGTGTCTTGTAAAAATCTCTCTCCTTCATTTTTTGCATTTACTTCATATCTCTCTTATGTGAAAATTTCAAAGAGTGTATAGGAAGCTTTAACAGGTTCTTGAGTGGAAGAAAACTATTTATGAAGAGATGTGGGCACTTGAGAAAAATCACACATAGGAAGTGATAAATCTGCTGAGAGGAAAGACAATAGTGGGTTGCAAATGAGTGTTCACCATCAAGTATAATTTAGATGGATCTCTTGAGAGGTAAAAAGCACGGTTGGTGACCAAAAGTTTTACTCAAACCTATGGCATTGATTATCTCGAGACCTTTGCTCAAGTGGCAAAGTTAAATACTGTGAGAGTACTTCTTTCAATCGCAGCAAATCTTGACTGGCTCTTCAACAGTTAGATGTGAAGAATGCTTTTCTAAATGAAGAGTTGGAGGAGGAAGTTTATATGGACCCATCGCCTGGATTTGACAAACACTTTGGATCTAAGGTGTGTAAGTTGAAGAAATCACTGTACGGGATCAAGCAATCTCCTAGAGCCTGGTTTGAACAATTCACTCGATCCATAAAAAAATCATGGATATGTCCAAGCTCAAAGTGATTACACTATGTTCATAAAGCACTCCGATGATGGGAAGATTGCAATTTTGATAGTAAATGTTGATGATATTATTCTTATTGGGGATAATGTTACTGAAATGAATTGTTTGAAAGAAAGTCTAGCTTCAGAATTCGGAATTAAAGACTTGGGGTCTCTAAGATACTTCCTTGGAATGGAAGTTGCTCGCTCAAAAAGGGTTATTGTTGTTTCACAATGAAAATACATTCTTGATATTCTTAAAGAAACGGGAATGAGTGGGTGTGGATCTGCCGATACTTCAATGGATCCTAATCAAATTCTGGGAGATACCAAAGATGGAAATCCTGTGAATATAACTCGGTACCATAAGTTAGTAGGAAAACTGATTTATCTATCTCACACCCGACCAGATATTGCATTCGCAGTTAGTATGGTAAGTCAGTTTATGCACTCACGTTATGAAGAACATCTTGAGGCGGTGTACCAAATCTTGAGATATTTGAAAAGTACTCCAGGAAAAGGACTTTTCTTCAAGAAGAACGAGCAGAACACTGTTGAAGCATACACAGATGTAGATTGGACGGGCTTAGTTACAGATAGAAGATCTACATCATGGTACTGCACTTATGTATGAGGAAATTTAGTCACTTGGAGGAGCAAGAAACAAAGTGTAGTAGCACGAAGTAGTGCGGAGGATGAATACCGGGCAATGGCTCATGGAGTATGTGAGATGTTGTGGTTAAAAAAGATTCTTGAAGAATTAAAGAAACCAATAGAGATGCATATGAAGCTATATTGTGACACAATAAGGCCGCAATTAGCATTGCTCATACCCGGTGCAACATGACAGAACTAAACACGTTGAGATTGACATACACTTCATAAAAGAGAAACTGGAAGCAGGTGCTATCTATATGCCGTTTGTTTCAACAACACAACAAATAGCTTACATTCTTATGAAAGGATTATTCAGACCAAGCTTTGAGTTTCTTATCAACAAGTTGGGCAAGATAGATATCTACACATCAACTTGAGGGGGAGTGTCGAAGATTTAAGAGTAGTAGTTCCGGGAAGTTAGGAGTTTATTCTTTCGTAGTTCCGGGAAGTTAGGAGTTTATTCTTTCTTTGATTCTGTTTCTAATAAACCCGAATGAGGCAGTGAGAGAAATCTGTTAGTGGTTCCTATTTTTATGCTTTTCCTATTTTCGTGTAATCTAGTAGATTAGGTGAGATTTTTGTGGAACTACTCTGACTATAAATATCCTTGTAATTCCTTATTATGATGAATAAGAAAAGAAGAATATTTTCTCTCAAAAACTTACACTCCCCAACGAGCAGACCATAGATGATACCCCTAGATAGATACTCCCGACATAAGAAATCCATAATGCCTACCAAGTAACTTGCAATTTTCAAAGAAACAAGACGGGAATGTTTTCATCAGACACACAAATCACTCTCTTTGATACCTTAAATTTCACTAATGCTTGCAGAACAGAGAAATAAAGAGAAATATAACTCCAGGACCAACATATTATTGGAGAGAAGTATATGCGTCAAAGACTGCGCCGTCAACAACTTGATCAACTATGCGAAAGTAGACAGAGTTGGAACAGAAATCTCGTAAAGAAGCATTACCATAATAAGTCGTAGAGAGAATAATTACAAGTAGTAAATTTCCATGAACTACTAGAAATAAATGCAGACCGAGCAGAGAAATAACATTACTAGGTAATGGTCCTTCAAACCAGCACAAATAGGACTTACACACTGGAGGCAGCAAAGAAATTTTCAACACTAACGAGGAATATAGAATTCCTCTTAAGATGTCCTCAATATAATGGCATAAGCATTTCTAATCAATAAAGGACACCTAAACAAGACAAACAGCCATCCTATATCAAACCACATGGATATGAAGAGAAGCATCATACTTTGACATGTAAACCTTCACTTTAGATCTTGTCAAGCTTCTCTGCCTTGACTACAGGGTTGGCTTTTGCAATGCCGTCACGAGCAGCAGTCCGGTAATCAAAAGGACAGTCGTGTTTGTCGGAGTACCGATGACTTGAACAAAAGAGGTTCCCGCACTTGCAATTGAACCCTGTTAAACCAACGCGCTTTCGGCAAGTGGTGCATCTGTTGGGCCCCTGTTTCACATTCTCAACAGGCTTGCTTGAGGAAGAATCACTGGATGGTTCTGTTGTAACAATCTCGGTCTCCACTGGTCCAGCTTGCACATCCAAGGCATCAGCAATAACAGGCTCCTTACCATTGCCACCATTGACGATGCTATCAATGGATGACGCCGCAAGTTTGGCCTGTTCCTGCTTTAGCAGCGTGTCTTTGAAACATTTAGAACACATATTGTTAGTAGCTGCCCTTCCAAAAAAGCCACAGTTGTTAATGCAAAGGATGGGGCGCTCGGGAGCTTGGCATCCCGTTTCGTCGTGAGATTCCATTTTTCAATTACCTACAAAGAAAAAACCTTAACATCTTAATTTAACCCCACAAGATGGAAGGAACTTATCACCTACAGATACAAAACACATCCAAAACGAGCAACAAATTCACTAAGACAGAAATATCAAACCACATTCCATATGAGCAGACACAAGACTTGTACACCAGCAAATAAAATCATTGCCTACAAAAAAGAGTAACGGCCAACAGCCTAGCATAGTGACTTTTTTTGACTTTTTTTTTACTTTTTTTGACTTTTTTTTTTCTTTAATACAAAATGGGATTGGACCCATAACCCCCCAGCCAAATCTCACCCTACCCAAACCCCCGAGTGCCACTAGACCAAGAGGTCTTAGCATAGTGACTATGATAACTAATTTTGAGAGATACAATACACGAAGCATGGAATCTAACAATGTTAGAGGATAAGAGTGTTTTAAGACTTAAGAGTGAGGTGAACAGCATTTCAACAGCAAAAATAACAATAGTAACAAGATTTTTTAGACCCCTACATAGCATAACCAATGTCTTTCTTAATCAACTGACGCCAATCCATGCAGAAAACAATATTAGCCGTCTTTTTTTCTAGCTATTCCATATGATTTTCGCACTTCAGTGTTCGCCATAGTATGGTTACCACAAAATTCTAATACCCATGAAAACGTAAAACACAAGTCCAAAGCAAAAATTTCAAACGCTCCAAGAGATGATACAACAATAAATTCGGATTCTGAATTGAGAATTGCAAACCAAACACAAAATTCCCAAAATCTGAACCAAATATAAAGTCTAGATGAAAAACTCAAATTCAAACACAAAAAAGAAAAAAAAACATATTAATCAGTTTTCGCCTAAAAAAACACAAATGACAAAATAATAACAGCAACCCAAACATTCCATCTATCTATCAATTATCCATAACAAAGCAAATTTCACCACAAAATTTTAAGCTCAAACCTAAGAACAACATCAGAACCCATCAAAACCTAAACTTAACAACAAAAATTATTCAAAAACGAAAAAAAAATCCTCAACAGTTCTTTCCAGCTCCAAAAACAAGCAAAGACTAACCCTTCAAATAATTTAAAAAAAAAAAAGAAAATATTAATAAATCTCACCTTTTCGGCTCGGCCGATCTTGTTCTCGCGAAATCGAACCAGGCGGTTCCTATTCCTGCAAAAAATTCAAAAAAAAAAAAGAAAAAAAGGTTGAGAAAGAATCAAACCAGAAAAAGAAAATCACGAAATAGAACCAAAAAAAAAAAATTGAAGGGGAAAGTGTGGGCCGCGAAGGAAGACTTTTTTCTTACCCTAATCGAGAGGATAATTGTTGCGTATGCGATAAACGGGAAAAAGAGAGGAAAAAAAATGGAGACCAGGAGAGAGAGAGAGAGAGAGAGAGAGGAGAGGAGAGAGAGAGAGAGAGAGAGAGAGTTGGGTGTGTATGTATGTGTGTTGGGGGGTGGTAGGGTCCGTTAGTTCCTATTTAAAACAGGTTGCAACTTTTTCCTTCTCTGCCAACGAACGCGACGCTTTCCACTGAGTCGGTGACGCTGCAACAACTGCCCTTGAAGAATGATTTTATTTACTCTTCTGCCATTTTCAACGTGTTGGGCTTTAATGCTTCCCTTATTGGTCTTTTCTGGCCCAGTTCCAAGAGCAATATGAAGGTCCCCTTCGTAAATTTATTGGAGCCCAAGATGTATAACCAGCTGAGCTCAAGGCCCAAAGCTTTTATGTACATTCAAGGGTCCAATTGGCACGGACGGTGGAGATGAAGCCTCACCGGCAATATAATCACGGTGGGAAAGAGGTGAAATCGGAGAGCGAATTGGCGGGAACAAATCCATCGCATATAAATACAGCCACTGAGAAGCCCCAATTTTCTAGGTTTATTTCTTCTTTTTCTTAGTGAGCTTTTTCTCTGTTGGAAGTTATTTGAAAATGGGGAAGAGGAAGAAATCTAGGGTTTCCGAGGAACGAGAACCAGAAGATGTAGAAATGCAAGAAGAGAAAGATCACGAGCAAGAGGATAACGATCGCAATCCACCTTCCGAGAAAACCCTATACGAGGTGGATCAGATTTTTTCAAAAGTTTATGTTCTTTGTTTGATTTCGATTCTAATTTCTTTTGAGGTTCAAGATTTGGAGTTATGAAAGTAAGGTATAATGTGTTTTTGATTAAGACGCAAATGGAGATGAAAGTTTGTGTTCTGAGTTTTTGGTGATTAATATACGAATTACTCCAATGAAGAGAAATTTCTTGTCGGTAAAGTGACATTCATTGAGAAACGTAACATTATGTGTGTTTGTTTTTACATCTCGTGTGTGATTTTGGTATTTGTTGATTTGAATTGAATGCTACTCCAGATTCCAGTGTTTTCCTTTTCATATGTGCGATTTTACTGCAAAAACCTTTTACGGTTTGTCCTCGGTCCTTCACGAAGAACGGGTTCTGCACTGTAAGATACAGAAATAGGATGTGTAATATGACAATGTTTTTTTCATGGAATAATGAGTTTGAAAGGTGTAACACTGGCCGCAATAAGTAGATTCTTGTTGTTACACCTTTCAAAGTTGTAGTTACGTAGAACAAATGCCATTGGACTATAAATATTGGATTTTCTTTAGAACTTGGCTATTTGGTCGATCTGCTTAATTTGGCTATGTCAACATTAACTCTTACTGTTGGAATTTTGATTCTTATTTATGGTGACAATTATATGTCTCATGATCAAGGAGATTTTTCAATACTTCAATTCAATGGCAGGATTAGGTACTAGTTCTAATCTTATACACATATTTAATTTTTGGGATTGGTTGGATATTTTCTTATCTATTAATGGCCAAAGTCTTTGCCATACATTTTTTTATTGTGTTGTCTTTTCTTGTGGTGTCGGTTTTATTTTTTTATTTTTTTATTTTTTTTTACTGTAGTAAAACTAAGCTGTTTGGTGGTTCACCGTTCTTATTAATAATGAGGCTATGTTTGCCTTTTATCTACGCTGAAATGTTTTTCTAATTCTCCACGGTAAAGGGTTTCTTCCCTTTCATATTGCTATGCTACTCTTTGTTTTGATTACTAAACGTAATTATAAGGTAGTAATATGTGTAATGTATGTTGTGTTTGCTCCAGCTTAGTTTTAATGACTATTGCTATGACGTGTGCTCTTTTCATGTTCTCCTGATTGTTCCTCTATGCTTTGCTGCTATTGAATATCTGCACTCTAATTAAGTAGTGGTATATTGAATAAATCTCTCATTTTCCATAGGTTCTTGGTGTGGAGAAATCAGCTTCTCAACCGGAAATAAAGAAAGCATACTACAAGTTGGCTTTACGACTCCATCCAGACAAAAATCGTGGTGACGAGGTAAAAGTTCATTCTGGTTTATTGTTGTAAAAAATTGTAACGCAAGTATACGCTATCGCAATTAAGTAATATATTAGTGAATAAGAGTATCATCTCACAAGGATTGTTGTTTACTAATTACCGAAATTATATTAACCCTAATTTTATTTGAATAATCAAAAAGAGAGTTTATAAAATTAAGTAAAGTAAAACTAAAATGACTAAATAAATTAAACAATGCTAAGCAATGGAAGAAAATTCAATAGATTAAGACTCTAGGGTTTCCGATTTCACCAAATTCTCCTTTCTCTTCTTAAATCTCGTCTCAAAAGTCAGCCGTCACTCTCCAGTCCAAAAGTCCCTTTAATTGCCCTGCAATCATCTATTTATATGTTTTGGAGCATTAGGGTCAAAACGGGTAAGTTTTCTCACGATTTGCCTTCAAAACGCGTCTTTTCTCGCATCGTAGTGCCGCGGTGTTGCGTTCCTAGTGCTGCAGCGCTGGCTGTGCAAAATCAGTGATGTTTTTAGAGCGCTGCAGCGCTGTCATGGACGCCAAAATGCTACCCGTTCTGTCCAAATGTGCTGGTACTGTAAAACTCAGCGTCAAAACGCTACAAATTGGCACCTAAACGCTGTGTTTGCTGTCTTTTTCCACCAAAAGTTGTCCAAAACCTTCCAAATCATATACTTTTACCTAACCTTCAAACAAAGAACAAAAACACACATAAAAACTAACAAACACCTCGAAAACCAACTAGATATTAAGTGTGAAACGATACTAAATGAGTGAGTAAAACTCACTCATCATTTATACCGGGTTTCTTTTGTTGTTTCCCTTTTTTCATTGTTTCCTCATTCCTGATGTAATTTATCTGAGTTGTTTACCTATAGGAGGCCAAAGGAAAATTTCAGCAACTGCAAAAAGTGATTGCAATTCTTGGAGATGAGGAAAAACGAGCAGTCTATGACCAGACTGGTTGTGTGGATGATGCTGTAAGGATTAATTTAAATTTTTGGATTTTGCAAGATATAATCCTATTTAGAGATTTTGGATAGTCCATGATGATAGTCATAGAAAGTTAATCTTCTATAGTTCATGCATTGCTAATCCATGTTAAAAGTCATTGCTATGACAAGCCCTCTTGTATTCCTTTTCTTTCTATTACTCCCCGATTGCTCCTCTTGCTGAAAATTAACCATTGTTTCCCTAATGGCCAGGATCTTGCCGGTGAAGTTGTTCAGAATCTACATGAATTTTTCCGAGTCATGTATAAAAGGGTTTGTTCATGCTGTTCAATCTTATAGTTATCTATATATACATCTCGCTTTCTTTGGGCTTATTATAAAAATGCATGTCCATTACAGGTGACTGAAGCAGATATTGAAGAGTTTGAAGCAAACTATCGAGGATCTGATGCAGAAAAGAAAGATTTGATTGATCTGTACAGGAAGTGTAAGGGCAAAATGAATAGGTATGATTGTATGAATGAGCATCATTGCTCTTTTTTTTTTTTTTCCACTTCTCCCATTGGCATATGAGTTCTATGATTAAAGGGTTTTTTTTTTTTTTTTGCGTGTAGGCTCTTTTGTTCAATGCTCTGTTCAGACCCTAAGCTCGATTCACACCGATTCAAAGACATTCTTGATGAGGCAATAGCTGCAGGTTTGAATCTCTTCTGGTTTTTCAATTCACTTTGGAATTTTTTGAAAGCTTGGTGTTGAGGAAGGAAAAGGAAATGAAGGTGATCGTCATAAGCCATAAACCTCCGTCTAACTAGCTTAATTCCGCCAAAAACTCATGGACGTCTTATTTCATTAATTTAGAATGAAAACTTGTGCAGAAAACTGATTCTGAGGATAAGAACGTGCATTTTCTAATTAGTTACATCTTAAGGGTTGGCTTAAATCTTTTAAGTCACATCTAAATAGATGCATTTTGTGATTGCTAAGGTGTCTTTTATGTTTCTAAATTCTACCTTACAGCTGAACTGGAATCAACTAAAGCATACAAAAAATGGGCGAAGAAAGTATTGGAAACAAAACCGCCTACCAATTCCTTAAGGAGGAAGGTCAAGTGAGTATTTCTCCACTATTTGAGCCAAGTGTCAATTTCAATTGTTGGTATCGAACTTTCCAGCAAAACTTGTTGATGTTAAACGTATTACAGGTCAAGTAAGCAGCCAAAGTCCTATCTGCATGCATTGATATCTCAGCGACGAGAGCAAAGGAAAGACCAGTTTGATTCCTTATTTTCATCTCTTGTGTCCAAGTATGGTGGGGGCGGTCCTTCTTCAGAACCTAGTGAAGAAGAATTTGAGGCTGCGCAAAAGAGGCTCAAAAGGCGCAGGCACTCTCAGAAGTCAAAGCCAGAGTCTTGATTGCGGGATGTAGTTGTGATCTATTCTATAATTACCAAATAAACTTTTGCTTTCATGAACTCATTGAAATGTCTTGTTTAGTATTATGTAGACGTGATTGCGAACTCTATGCATCACGTTTAGTATTATGTAGACGTGATTGCGAACTCTATGCATCACTTGCTAAAAGCATTAGCTCTCAAAATCAGCTTCTACTTGTAATACAAGTTGATTTTAATGTGTAGTAAATCTTCTTAAAAGTGTTTTTTAAAGAATTTTTAAAGAATTTACTTCTAAAATAAGAAGCAACTTAAAGATAATTTTAGATTTTAGATTATGCGGGCAACATAGTATAATTAATACAATTTTCATAATACTCTTAATAAAATTTAAAATTTATAATCTTTTCAATATAAAGTTTAGACTCATAATATAATATAATATAATAATAATATAATATAATAAAATAGTAATATTATAACAAATAATATTATAATTATATTAATAACTCTAATATTATTATTTTATAATATAATATGATATTATAATAATAAATATACATTATATTGTAATTATATATGTTATATTATAGTATAATATAATATAGTGGTAATTTTTAACTATTCGCAATAATTCAACCTCATAATTTATCAAACGCTATTACACTAATTTTAGAATCAATACAGCTACTATGATTATAGTTTACTAAACACTTAGCTACTTTTTGTAATAGTTATTTTTTTTTTCAGCACACTTAAAAGTAATTTTTTTAAAATCTACAAGAATACCAAACTAAACCAATGTATTGTATTCTAATAATATGTGGTTTTTTTCAACATAAGAAACTACAAGGAAAACCAAAACATCATATTATACAAAATTGGGGCTCCAATAAACAAAATTAAGGTTCACCAGCAAAAGGTACATCTCCCCATACCTTGTTATGAAGCAGATTGCAGAAACTGCTTTCGTAGGCAAATTGTTAAATGGCAAATCCAAATGGCCCAGTAAATTTTGTTGTCGGTTTTAGTGTGATTATAAATAGTATACTCTTATTCATTCATTTATATAAGTATACTCTTATACTACTTGTTGTTGGACAATAAGTCATATGTTCAAAATTGGTAATGTTAGAACTACACTTTTTTACTTATTTATTTTTGCCTAGAAATTTTAGAACACTAATTGCTCTATTTTATAAGCATGAGACGTTGTTCACGTGTTGGTATAAAAATATAAGTAAAAACTTCTTCCCCTAAAATGTTTCCCTTGTGCAACGAAATACATATATGTTCTCTCTCTCTCTTTTTTGTTTTCTGTATTATTTTAGCCATAAAATATTTATCTGAAGATTGTAATTAATTAAATAATTGATAAAAAAATTATAAAAATAAATAAGTTTAAATTCTTATCACGTCAAGTTATTAAATTTTTATATTTGATAAGTAATCATGATGAAAATATAATCGCCGAAAATTCATCAATATGTATATATGTGTATATTTTCATTGCTCTTAAACTGGTTGGACAAGGGGAAAAAAATAAAAGAAAGAGAGTGATCATATGGTTGATTAAAGAGGAGAAAAAAAAAAAGAAGAAGATTATCTTCACCAATGATCCCCGAACCATAGCCTTTGTCTCAATTTGATTCCCGACATTTATTTTTACATAGTACAATACCTCAGTCTATCTAAAAATCTCACTGGTGGCCCCAACATTAGAAATTTGTTAAAATTGAACAAAAACAGGTCTCATGTCAGTCATTACCACTTTGAAATCTAACTTTTGTTTTGCCATTTTTTGAAAAAAAATCATAATTTGGGGAGCATTTGTGAAAGGGTTAAATTCATTTTTAATCCCTGAAATCTATTTTTTTTTTCCATTTTCTGAAAAAAATAATAATTTGGGGAGCATTTGTTAAAGGGTTAAATTCATTTTTAATCCCAAACTATCAATCAAATTCCATTTTGGTCCATAACCTTTTAAAATGTCCCAGTATGAGTCCATGATCTACTAAATTGTCTCAAATTAATCCTTTCCTTTATTTGTAACTAAATCTCAATGGACAAAGGCTCAAATTCTTTCTTAACAATCATGACCTAACATATAAAATTTTAAATTTCCCTCACTGAACAGCAAACAGTATCCTTTCTTTCATCAAGATTTTAATAGTATGGACCTAATGACTAAAATTTGATAGATTGAGAACTGGAATTAGGACATTTTAAAAGTCAAACACCGAAATTAGATTTTGCAATAATTTTGGGAAAAAAATGATATTACCGTATATGAAAATAACCTAAACAAAATAAAAGGTGCACAATTGTTCTTTCCCCCAAGCTTTACTTCCCCAGAAGTAAAAGATAGTTGAGTAGATTTTGTTCCCAATTGTGGCAAAATTTGTCCAATTTCAGAACACACTGTTCACTGGGTACCTGCAGAAATCTATCTAGCTTCTTCATGAAAAAAAAGTTTGAAAATTTGGCCTTCCAGTATTTGCTCTGCTTTTGCAGTTAGGAATGAGCATGAGATCCACTTGTTGGCAGCTTAGGTTATTCAGCTTCCAAAACGTGCACATTTTTGTCCTTTTAGGCCTTCATTTTAGTGCCAAATTGTCAATCTCATACATTGAAAACTTTTATTTTATCTTTTTGTCTTATGATGAGAAGTTGATTTTCTTCTCTAATAACAGCCGAACACGTATTGTAAACCGTGTCTCTATCTTGAAAGAGCATATATCTTTTTCTCTCAGTCCAAAATAGGACCCCCTAAAGAAATTTGTTGGTATTATTTTGGTCCTTTGCTTAAGTTATATATCATTACATACTCAACTTACACGTCTACAGCAAAACCATTAACTGCCATAGTGACATTATACCCCATATTTTTTGACGTTATTATTAAGTTGTCATTGTTGACTATTAAAATATTTAATGCTTCTAATATTCCTTTCCCCTTAGTTAAGAGGTTCTTATACACATATATATACAATTATTTGCAAGCTTATATGTTATATACACTTGTTCAAAATAAATCATACATTGCATTATAACCTATGTCGTTTTTTTAACTCGGGTAAGGAGATTTTAATTTTACACCATGTGTAGAGTTAGATGTGAAATTATCGTTAAATTATGCTTATTATCACATTAAAAAAAAAAAGAGATCGTTATGTCAATAATATACATGCAGTTTAATGGGATAATCTCATAGCTTAAAATCCAAAGGACATGATGATACTAATTGTAAAACTAATGAAGCCTCCAATGTTAATGCTTGAAATCCTCATATTTAACTTAGTAGCTACTTAGTTTGAGAAAAAAAAAGTGCAATCGGATTATAAAACACTTTTTACAAATAGAAAATGTTATTCTATCATATTATTATCTCTGAATCCTATTTAGCTCTATATGATTGTGATGGGATTTAACAAAATATAAACTAAATAGTAATTTTTTATTTTGAAATTTGTTTTACTTCAGTCATTTTTTTTATTGATGTTGCATGCTGAAAAATCCAAATAAAATGTAAAAAAAAAAAAACAATAAAAGTAAAAACCACCAAAATCAACTTTGTAGGAGACCCTACCAACACAGAAAAATGTTCAACTTGCAAGCCAATTATTAAGCCAATACCTCCATAAAAACTAAAAGAAAAGAGGCCATTTTAGTTAGTGGCTCCACATAGAGTTAATATTCTTGTTCCCTCTTTCTTAGCTGCTCTAGGTCGAGGTTCTCCTAACTGATTAATTAGTTTTCTTATGGCCCAATAGTGTTGTTTTTTTTTTTTTTTTTTTTTTTTTGCATCTCTATAATTATGATTTTCCCCTGGAAAAAAAAAACCCAAATAATTCTAGTGGTTGGTCATGCAAAGAAAGAAGCTTATCACAGAAAGACACAAACCGTGTTGAAACTCTCTTAATGGCCAATCTCAATTTCTGACCCATTAATAAAAAAATAAAAAAAAGAAAATTAAGAGAAAAATCATCACTAGGCCCTCCTCTGCCCCCCACCATCCAAAAATGCAACAAACAAAGAAATAATTAAGAAACATATATACAAAAATATTTATATATATACATTTTTTCTTTATTATTATTATTATTTTATATAATTAAGTTGAAAGGACAATGACATCACAACTCGTGCCTGAAAAACATTCCCTGGTGAGGAGTTGATCTATTCTCAATTTTTCTCCCCTCTCAATGAATCTGAAAATGCAAGCAAAGCTCTTCCTTACCCTTTAGTCATCTCATCTATACCTGTCACTTTTTCTTTTGCCCCATTCTACCCTCTTTTTCTTTTTTGGGGAGTCACTTATTTTAATCCATTTTTTATGAATTATTTTATGACAGAGAGAAATTGCATAATATTCATATTAGATTAAAAAACTAATTTAAGAGAACTTAGTAAAAATATTAGAGTATAATTTTATGATGGGTAGGAATTATATAAAATTCATATAAGATAATAGAATATAACATTTTAAGATGATTAAATAATAATGTTACGGTCACAAATTGTATCCTACTATTTCACTAGTTACTATTTTTTATTTAATTAAAATATATGTATATCGGATAGTAAAAATAATTAATAAATATACATGTTATATACATATTTGCTGAATATTTAACTAATATATGTACTACTTTTTGGTAAATAATATATATACTATTTTTTTTTTTTTTTGCTAATCAAATAATATATATACTACTTGAGCGTGTCCTTTCTTACCTCTCTCTCTCTCTCTCTGGGTCTCTACTGGACTCCTTTGCCATTTTCTTTTGGGTAAGCAAAGTCATCAAGTTCTTTTTATTATCATATTAGTGCAAGGTTTGCTTCACTCGAGTTTGTCCTTCCCACCTTTTTAATTTCTCTCTCTCTCTCTCTATCTTCACAAGTTGCAGTGTGATGACATAATTGTGGAATGCAGCTTTTACTCCATTTCTTACTTATAAGATCCCTCTTGTGTTTTTGTTGCTTCATCTCTCTCAAAGAGTCAACCTTTTTCCTAACATTGCAGCAACTTGGTAGTTGGTTATCTGGAAAATTTGGTATGTACCCACTAATTTTCTCTCCATTTTCTCGAGGTTTTTGGTCAAAATTAAGCTTTTGGTGGACTTATATGAAATCTGGGTTTTGAAGGTTTTAGCTCGTAATGGAGTCTGATAATGGTGAAATGGTGTCAAAGATGGAGGATTATGAGGTTGTTGAGCAGATTGGAAGAGGGGCTTTCGGAGCAGCTTTTCTTGTTCTCCACAAGATTGAGAAAAAGAAGTAAGAGAAAAAAAAATATCCTCATTTGCACTTTCTGGGTTTTTGCAATTCTGTGTTTTTGTTTTTAATTATGCAGTTTTTTAGTATCCCAAGTAAATTTTTACAGCGTTTGAGGCATTTTTCAGTGTAAATATGAAATGCCCAGATGAGTTTTGAAACCCGTGAACAACATTCAGGATGAATTATTTGTTGGTTAGAATAAATACCTTTATTGCCGCAATTCACATGTTGGGTATAAAAATTCACGAGAAAGAACTCAAGGAGAGAGGGTTGTTCTTCCCTTTTTTTTTTTTTTTTTTTTTTTTTTTTTTTTTTTAATTTCATTGTTTGATTTGGCATGTTTTGTTAGGTATGTGCTGAAGAAGATTCGCTTGGCTAAGCAAACAGAGAAGTTCAAACGTACGGCACACCAAGAGGTCACTTTGCTGAAACTTCCTCTTTGGATTTGCTTTTGCAGATTTTGGAGTCAGCTTCATCCTTTTTTTTTAATTTTTTATTTTAAGAACTCTTGGATTTGCTATTGCAGATTTTTGAGTCAGCTGGAAAAAGAAAGAAAGAAAGAAAAGAGCTAGTCTAGTGTGTGAATTGGATAATTGGACTTTTAAGGTTTATCGTGGGGTTATTAAAGTTTCTCCATTTTAATTTCAGTGTACCCCAGCAACCACTGTCAATTCAGAATGTGATTGATAGCATTAAAAAAAGAAAATTTTTTTAATGATGATACTTAGTTGACATGAAACTGAAACGTTATATATCTAAGAAATTACCTCATTTTCTAATCATACACTGACAATTCGTTGAACTTTGCTGCCCCTGCAGATGGAGTTAATTGCAAAGTTGGATAACCCTTATATTGTGGATTATAAAGATGCTTGGGTAGACAAGGTAAAAACATGTGGTTTTTAAGTGTCTTGAAGAAGGTTTATAATCTTTATTTCACAATTCTACAGCTCTTCAAGCGGTTTTTGACCTCATAGATGCATGTTTTTATGTTGTGAAATGATAAATTTCACGAAAACACAGTTCCATGACACATTATGAAACTAAAATATAAATTTATAAAGCTACAAAAGTTTGGACAAAATGGTCATCTCAGTTTTGACAGAATCTTCAGAAATTTGATGCGTGGGCATTCATGATGTTCGTGATAAAATTTTTCATGCTGTGGATTGTTGCTCGTCTATGTTTTGTAGGGGGACTGTATATGCATTGTCACTGGCTATTGTGAAGGAGGAGACATGTAAGTAAGAAAATAAGATATTCAGAGTAATTATAACATTGTCCATGAATAATAACTTAACTAGGGAAAGCTAATTTGTCTTACAGGGCCGAGATGATAAAGAAGGCCAGAGGAACATTTTTCCCAGAGGAGGTAATCAGTAAGATTTCATGAACTTAATTTAAAGTCCTCTTTCATCTAATGTAAGTAAGGTTAGTAAGCGTCCGATGTTATTCTGTTTTTGCATTTAGAAACTCTGCAAATGGCTGGCTCAATTGTTGCTGGCTGTGGATTACTTGCATTCTAACCGAGTTCTTCACAGAGATCTTAAGGTAGTGAAAAATTACACTCATTTTCAGTGAATGAATCCTGTTAATGGTGATTTACTAAATACTAATTTAAGATTCATTTTGTTTGCAGTGCTCCAACATATTCCTTACAAAAGACAACGACATCCGTCTTGGTATCGAGATAGTATAGTTTCTATAGAGGATTTTTGTTTTTATTTTCATTACAGGTTGGCTCCGAAGTTTCAGTTTCTAACCACTGTTTATCTTTCATGGGATTAACAGGTGACTTTGGACTTGCAAAACTACTTAACACAGAAGACCTTGCTTCTTCGGTATGAGCTTAAACATGTTTCGTATTTTTATTTTCCTACAGAACTGATGAATAAATTTATCTTAGTAAACAAGCTCTCGTTCCATTGTTAGTATTATTATTATTTGGTTCCTGAAGGGTGATGACTTTTTGTGTTTGACGTAGGTTGTTGGAACTCCGAACTATATGTGTCCTGAGCTCCTTGCTGACATACCCTATGGCTATAAATCTGATATATGGTCTCTTGGTAAGGCTTTTAGAATTCCATGGCTCTGATTTCTTGTTACAGAATAATGTTCTTATGCTGATTAGTAATAACCTTTCTTTTCCTCCCGGTATCCAGGTTGCTGTATGTTTGAAATCGCCGCACATCAACCTGCATTTAGAGCTCCTGTAAGTTCAACTTCAACCAAGAGCTGTTTGTATGGCATTAATACTATTGCAATGCTCATGAACTTGTCTTAACGAGTAAATATTTCATAAATTGGTTAACAGGATATGGCTGGGCTTATCAATAAGATAAACAGATCCTCGATTTCGCCCCTTCCAATTGTGTATTCCTCCACATTGTGAGTATCTCCTTCAAATGCGATGCTCCAATTGATTATTTTATGCTTCTTGCTTGTTAACTACACATTTCATCATCCATAACAAATCTGACACATTATAATTGACGAGATGGCTTCGAATTTTACAGGAAACAAATTATTAAGAGCATGCTCAGGAAGAGTCCAGAGCATAGACCAACAGTGAGTTCAAGCGACTGCGGGCATATATTAGATTAATTCCACCGTTTTGCTGTTCTTATTCCTTCTTCATTTGATAAATTCAGGCTGCAGAGCTGTTGAGGCATCCACATTTACAGCCCTACCTCCTTCAATGTTGCAATGCGTCTTCTGTTTTTCTTCCAGTTTACCCGCTAAACAACTCAAAGGACAAAACAAGAAAAACGCCGCCTAGGAAAGCAAGCAATGGTAAACACAGCAGAGAAAAAGAGGCTGCTATGGTTAATCCGGTTGAAAGGGTTCATCCGTTGGAGGGGAATACTGATGTGACGCCTAGAAACACGCCAAATGATGACAAACAACCAGTATCCACAGCCAGAGCTGAAGACAAGCTTGAAACCAAGAGGGTTGATCCTACTAGCTGTACAACCGAATTATCTAGTGCCACTGATGGATCTAAAGATGGACCAGCTGATTCTGAAGCATCCGTTTCGAATGGATGTAAGCAAGCCGATGTTCGGAGCATGTCTCATAAGGAAAGCACCGAGTCTGACATCGAGGTTACATCAGAAAGCACTCCATACTCTCCACATGAAGAGCAGGAAGAACCTGCTGTGACGGCTGCAAAATATCTTCAGCAGTTGCCAGAGGTTGATATCAAAACAGTGAATGTAGAAGATGGGAAGATGTATTTCAATCAAGAGGGTCAGGAAGAAGCTGGAACAAAAGGAGAGCAGGGTGGTAAGGAAGAGGAAGAAAACTGCAAAGAACTGGAAAAATTAAGCGCAGAAAGTACGGATAAAGTTGTAGCACCCGATGATAAGTGTTCGTCATCAGCTAAATCCGATGTGGAACCTCAATGTTGCATGGAGAAGGAAACTTCCATCGAATGCATGGAAGGTGCTCACATCGACTATACATCATCCGAAAGCAATAATGTTAGTGTTCCTTGTAAAGATGACCCAAGTGGAAAGGTAGAAACAGAAAGTTCTGCACAAGCGGAGAAAAATGAAGGTCAAGCAATTAACTTGTCACGCAGTGAGATCTCGTTACTAAGTACACTATCTGCTCTAGGTATTGATGGAGCCAAGGGCATGTGGGAGAATCCGAGTCAGCAAAGAGCCGACGCTCTAGAGTCCCTGCTTGAGCTTTGCGCACGGCTTCTTAAGCAGGACAAGCTTGATGAGCTTGCTGGTGTGCTAAAACCGTTCGGGGAAGAAGTGGTTTCGTCTAGAGAGACGGCTATCTGGTTGACAAAGAGCCTCATGTCTGCTCAGAAGTTCAATGGAGGATCCTGATTTTTGAAGAAGGGTTGTGCAATAATTTATGAGCAAGAGTGGGAAAAGAAAATGGTGTATCTTGTTTCAGTCTTTTTAACATAAACTGTGCGTCACCTGGAGTGCTTTTTGATTGGAAATAACATGTATTGCAGCTTGTAATTGAAAATTGGCTCTAGTGGAAATGGAATTATAATTTTTTTTTTCCCATTTTGTTTCACTGAGATGAATGGAACTTATTTTCCAGAACAGTACAAATAAGAACATCCCAGAATTTACTTTTTTACTATTGGACAGCAAATAGTGGTGGTGTTGTTTTCTATTATTTTTTTTAGTTCACAAGATTGAGTCAGACATGTTTAACTTTCTTGAATACTGTATACGACCATGCCAATCTTGTTTTAGTTCCGGAAAGGGCAACTAGCCTTAGCATATACTTAAAAGGCCCTGGCCCCTCCCTTCATCCTCAGATGAGGAGTGCGTCACCTAACCTCACTGAATGTGTTAAGGATATGTGGAGACAATAATCCCAAGAACTCGATTGGAGTAACTCTGCACTCGAACTGAATGTGTTAAGGATATGTGGAGACAATAATCCCAAGAACTCGATTGGAGTAACTCTGCACTCGAACGTGTGACCACAACCCATCATCCTCTATTACATCTAACTGCAACACTCGGTGGTTGGTTCCACCCTTTATATCAGGTGTTTTATTTATTTATTTATTTATTTTTTAATTAACTTCTCAAACTCTAGTAACAACATTACGTTAAAATGGTACATCTTGCAGATAAAGGTGACATGAATCGGATCCAAGAAGCCTTGGATACTCTTCAACGCTTCTTTAGATTCCCTTTTGGGGGTTGTTCAAGTTCCAAGTAGTATGGTAAGCACGTCCAAGGATTATTTGTTTTCGTTAAACACACATCACGAACACTACTTTTGACATTTTCAATTTCGTTGACAATAAGTTTTACCTATATTAGACACTTCTGTTGTTTTTGTTAAGAATTTTTAGGACGTTAGTTTCTTATATTCGTCCATAATTTTGAATCATAATTCATAATTCTCTACAGTGTTTTCTCTCACAAAAAATACACGTAAAACGAGAATGATTTTGAATTATGATTCTGAATACATAAACTAAATGTCCTGTGAATATATTATGTTGTACATAAGTTGTTGTATATTCATTCTATGTTATTCTTTTAAGATAATATGGCGGTACATGATTCTCAATTTTAAATAAGAAAATTTTGGCACTTGATCTAATTTTATGGCAAAAATCTCCTAGAATTAAAATTAAAGTGTGCAAGTGAGATTCGCATGACAAATAAATGAAGGGTAAAATTGTCATTTTAGCTTAAAAAATTCCAAGCACTAGGAGGTGACTTTGACGATCTTATATTCAGCAGAAGTAGGAAAGCGTTGCAAGTGGGACGTCGCCATGTCAATTTTTGATGGTTGAAAAATAAAAAAATTATTAGTAGTTTATTTTTCTGATCTTATTAGACTAATAAACTCTTATCTTTTTTTTTTTTTTTCAATTCAAGTTTATTTTTAATTATCTTATTTGTCTAATAAAACTTTTCCACGTTAAAAAATCAAATCCAAGAAATAAAGGAGCAGAGAAAAGAAAGAAAGATCAAGTGTAATAATAGCACCAGTTTTCCTTTATATTAAGCTAACCTTATGAATCATAATGTTACGCAATCGTATGGATCCACACAAATCATAACATTGCACTTTCTTCCTTTATGATATAATATGATAGTGCAGTCCACACTCCTTTTATTACCTCCTAATTAACAACCGAAAATATATAAAGAACAAAAGGTAGGATTAATTCCAACAACAATAATTCAATGCATAACCAGAAGTAGAAAATGCATCATTCTTCACTCACCAAATTAGAACAAAAGAAAGGCACTAATTATTCTCCACTTTTCAACTCTCTCTCACTCATTTTTTTTTCCCTCAATTTTTCAACTTCTCTGATATTAATGCAAGTAATAGGCAAAGAAAGACATAATCGAGGCACCAACCAAGGAACCAACTACAGGCAAAGTGGCAGAGGCACCACTTGAAGGGCCAGGGCCGGAGCCAATACCTTGTCGGCCGCCAAGACCGAGCTCATAGAAGCCGCGGCGACAATGGCAACAAAGGATATTTTCTTAATGTCCATTATGAATGTCAACTGACTTCCTTGGAGATGAAGGAATATAAAACCTTTTTTTTTTTTTTTTTTTACATTTTTACATTTTTACATTTTTACAAGGAAATAAGTTATTTTTAGTTAGGAGTAGATTTTTAGACGTGTGGCTTTGCATAGTTTGAGGAATTTAAAACCCTTTCTAGACACAAATTATTAGGACAAGATCGACCAAAGATATTGCTTTAGATTCCTTTATTTTATGATTTCTCTATGGCCAATGTTTTAACAATTAACACAAATTTTCTTTTGTTATACCTTATCTTATTTATGTACTTATATGGTGTAATTGCATATTGTGATGAGCTATAATAAACATACAAGAGGTATTTATTGGACCCAATTTACTGTTAGGTTTGGTTGTTGAGGAATTTTTGCCAAAAGATTAATTGTACTCATAAAGACAGCCATAATAATGACATGTTTAATTTGCATAGGGATTGACAACAACAATAAGAAGAAGAATAGTAACCATTGAAATGAAGTTAGTTAGATAACATCAATAGTCTACTTGGTTTTCCATGAATGATAGGTTGAAATGTCTTAAACCAGCAGACATAGCCAATAAATATGAATCTAATTTTGATGCCCATCAAGATTTTATTTTATTTTTATTCTCTTGGATAGTTAATATGCAATTTCCCATATCAAGATTTAATCTCTTTTAGAGCATAAAATAGCGAATGAAAAACAAGAAATTTAAAATGATTGATGGAGTATGAACAGTTATTTTAAACTTTAATGCACTAGCATAAAAGTCTCAATCTAATCTAGTCATTAATTGTCAAGTTCTACAAAACCAAACTTATTCTTTATGACATTCCTCAAGCTCAATCTGGTCAAGTTTAAAGACATTAATTGTAGAGAAGAAAGTTTTTCTTTTTTTCTATCTTTCTTTATTTCTTTATTTCTTTTGCTTTTTTTTTGGGAGTTTTTCTATCCTATCAGTGGGTCCAATTTTTGACTATTAAATTTGTTCAAAACATATTAGACTGAAAAATATGCAGAACAAACAGTTTCTGATACAGATTATATGATCGGTAAAAACATGAACTCTTTAATAGTTTATGTTTTCAAGACCTATTAGAGAAACTTCTTCTTACAATATCAAACGGTCAAAATGTACGCTATTGATAGGAGATCAGCAAGTCTATGTTTTTTAGCCATCAGATCTTATATCCGAAATTGAATGTATTTTTTAGAAAGGAAAATTGACTGTTTTTTTGCATACTTATTTTGATTTGATTTTGACAAGATCAAACGGTCAAAATGTACGCTATTGATAGGAGATCAGCAAGTCTATGTTTTTTAGCCATCAGATCTTATATCCGAAATTGAATGTATTTTTTAGAAAGGAAAATTGACTGTTTTGCATACTTTTTATTTTGATTTGATTTTGACAATATCAAACGGTCAAAATGTACGCTATTGATAGGAGATCCTACTATAGAAGGGCTTTTTTTTTTTCCCTTAGATATAACAAATGAAGAAAGGAAACAAATATTTTTTAAAGTGCATGAATATGAACTTTTATTCATCATTCTTAATTAATATCTTTTTTTGTCAAGTAACTATATTAATTAAAATAATATTAATTAAGACTACAGGATAAAAATCTAAATCTATACTGATAATTTCAACAATTTTCTCATAACTCTCCCCACAAAAAGGCCGAAAGGGATGGGAAGAAAAATCCCAAGTTATAATGATTAATGGGAGCCTTTTTTTTTTTTTTTTTTTTGCTGGAAAGTTATGATGGGAACTTGTCAACTAACTTCTTGTATGCAAAACTATGCTTTTTTGTGTGTGTGTGTGTGTGTGTGCAAGAAACTACGCCCTTATTATGCAATAGCAGACTAGCAGCTTAAGCTTAATTAACCATTGTGGGGTCTTCACCAACAAGCAGCTTACCTTATTTCAACGTTTGTAACTCACGTGAAAGAGCAAAGCCACCACCTCACTTTCCTCACAAAATACTCAGCCCAATAGCCCACCATTGGTTTTGGTCACTAGTCAGTTATGAAAAGACTGATCCAATCAAATGCTTCGCATATCTTTCTTCCAAAGTCATCTTCTATTGAGGTCTCGTGTCCCTATTAGAAAATCAGGTAAAAAATACATTCCTTGTTAGGTAATAAGGTCAGCAATTTTGATTATTTCCAATGAGCATTTCAACGTGAAAGTTATGGTACATTCCAAAAGTTATATGCATTATACAATTCAAATTTCAAACATGTAATAGTATAGAGTTCAGATTTTACAATTAAATTTATTTAGAGGACCAATGACTGTTCTCGGGTATCGATCGCGTTGGTGAGTCGATTGGAGTTTATTTGAGTCGATAGAGCGCTAGAATGAGAACATAAAGTACGAAAAAATAAATGAACACGCGGATTTATAGTGGTTTACTTTCAATATAAGAACTAAATCTACTGTAGTCTTCAGAGTTTCACTATATGGTATAAAAAGTACAATTACAATGACGAAGAAGAATGAGAGAGAAGGGATGAGGGAATTTAGAGAGAGAATCAAGAGAGACAGGGAGTAAATGTGCAAAACGTGCTGTGTGGGATTATAATGAGATCAATGAGATGTCCAATTCGCAATCTTAACCGCTATTTATACGATATGATCAGACCACGAGTTTCGCACCATCCACGTCGACAGGCCCTCTCCAAAAGAGCCCCAACACTAGTTTTTTTTTTTCCGTTGAGGTGATGTGCTGTCAATTGGAGAATGATAGTTTTCTCTTTCTTTAATTGACTTTCCTATTCTTTGTTTCCTTATTTGCTTTTCTATGGCTTTCTTCTTCAATTTTGATCGGATTTGTGCCTTTAATACCAGATTTGGCTGGATTAGATTTTGTGGCTTCTTAGGAACATTTTTTCTTGATTCAACCGTGGTAGCCTATACGGGCCTCTTGTCATCGCTCCTCTCCAATTGATGCTGTCTCTTGAGTCGATTCTACGACCAGTCGATTTTAGTCGATCTACTT